TTTTTATGGTGTAAATAAAAGCAAACTTGAATAGAAATTTAAATTTATCAATAAAACATAAACAACATTCCAGACAATTTTAACCAAATTTGAAATAAATGTAAATAACAATCAAGTGGTAGAGTTGCGAAATAATTAGTAATGCGTTAACCATGTACTTGTAGAACTGTGAAAAATTACATTTTTTAATAAGGTTTTTCATCATGGTATTATTAAGGTTTTTCATCATGGTAAGGTATCATGGTATTTAGCATAAAATGTCAAATTCCGAGCAAGAAAAATTTTGGTGTTTTCCTCCATAATGTCCATGAGTAAGTAAAGATAAAAGGAGGAAAAATAAAAAGAGGAAAAAAGTGTTTTTCTTAAAAACCACTGTAATCTTTGATTTAAAGATTTTAAATTAATAGAACGCCTATTTGCCTGAAAATTTCGGCATTCGACATTTAATAATTATAAATGCTAAAATTATGAACATGAAAAATTCACCATTTTTATTAAAAAAATATCTCTTTTTATTAAAATCATTTTTATTAAAAAAAATAACAACGAATGCTTACTTCTCTCTCCATTTAAATCAATTATGTTAAAAGCTTTTCATAATGAGGTAAAATTTTTGCTATCATTCTTTTTGGTAGGAAAAAAATGTAGTTTCATATTTTTTAAGTACGCAGGTACTGATTGCTGATTCAGGAATTGATTCAGTCACAGTCATAAAAAAAAAAAACTTTCTTCTTCCTGTTTAACAGGCAAGAACTCCTAGAACAGTATTCAATACATCAATCCTTGACACAATACTAAACATCTAACAAATAATCGATACGTTTAATAATCACATTTAACAAATAATCGATTTTTTTTTCTTTTTTGCTTTTACAAGATGATTGTTTTTATATGGGAAACGAAGTAATGAGAAAATGAGATACATTGATTTTACTGCCTATTTAGTATACTAATAGTAGAAAACCTTTTTATGCAATTCGTAAGCATCATAACGTTATATTCAGATTATAAATCAATCCAATGTTTTCATTTAAAGCCAAATTGCGTACTACTATGACAAAGAAAACGTTAAAAACAGAAAGTTTTGAAAGTCATTTAAAAAAAATTGAAAGTCATTTCAAAGCATTAACATTTCATATCATTTTATCAATCATATCATTATGACATTCATTTATTCAAAGTTTACCATTTAATATCATTTTATCATCCAATTGTACAAAACATGACATAATCCCAAAAAGTAAAATCGTGCAAGATTTTTCTGTGATGCTTTAATAGTCTTCGTGCAGGTAGTTTTCAAGAACTCATTAAATACACTTCCATTTTTATCCGGAATGGATTTTCTTTTCAAGTTAGATTTTCTTAGGGTCTTCTTATATGAAAGCGAAGGAAATTTTACCTTGAAAACAAAGATATATGTATGAGCAAAATATGTAACACGCAACCTCGCATAACAATGTTTTTCAAGTAACAGGAATAACGAAAAGTTAGGTCTTTAATGGACCAGACATGTTTTTAGTTAAATATTACTGATATTTTTATTTTATACGATGGTGAAAATTTTGTAATTAATCAATTTTCCATCCAAAATCATAAAATTGTGACATAAAAAAATATCAACTTTTTAAGCTGTAGTTCTTGTGAACAAATTATCAAACAATTCTTCATAATTGATTATTAACTACATGGCCTTATAATGAATAAAAAACCTTAATGAAATGTATTTTTAGACTATTTTAGACTTGAGAAATAAATCTGATAACCAACTATTGAATTGGAAATAATTTCAAATGTGTTAAAACATACTGAAAAAGACTAAATTTTTTTTACACACACCAAATGTAAGAAATTTAAGAAATTAAATTTAACAATTATTGACATATGTTTAATAATTTTATTATTCTTTTTTATATTATTATGAAGCAAAATCTTATTTTTTATTTGATTTTCATAATAAAACTAGCTGTACCCGTTCACACGTTGATCAAATGTATACAATACATCAAAATGGAAATTAATAATAAAATTATCCCTACATATATGTCAGTTGAATATAATGAAACATAGATATACATAGTTGATGGTAGAATAAACATGTTTCTTTACTTGTGATATTAAACAATATTGCAAACGATATCATCATGAAATTAATGATATTTGATGATTGGTGGTGAACTTTATCTTAGTAGTTCTTGTAAATATACAACATTTTTTGTTTTCCTATCTGGTGCAGGAACAAATAAATTGGATGGTTTTCCAACTCGTGAACACGCAACGTACAGCTGTCCATGTGAGAAGCATGGATATATCAAATTTAATCCACATACTTGCAATGATTGTCCCTGTGCATTGTTAATGGTCATTGCAAAGGCTAGTCTTACTGGAAACTGTAGATGTTTGAATTCAAATATACACTATCTGGCCATTAATGACCGGACACCTCTCATTTCGGATACATGAGGTGCTAGTATCAAGTCAGTAGGGCGTAGGGCCGCTACGCGCCCGAATCACAGCTTTAACCCTTCTAGGAAGGCTATCCACTAGGTGTTGGTACACGGCGGCAGGTATTGCCCGCCATTCCTCCTGTAACATGGCGAAGAGTTGAGTGGTGGTTTTGGGGCGTTGTGGTCTGGCCCTCAACCGGCGCTCCAACTCATCCCAGAGATGCTCAATTGGATTGATGTCGGGACTTTGGGATGGCCAGTCAAGCTCTTGCACCCCCATTTCATCAAACCAGTCCGTGATGGCATGTGCTTTATGAATGGCAGCGTTATCGTGTTGAAACACAAACGGGCCATTACCGAACTGTTGCCACAGGGTGGGAAGCGCCGAATTGTCCAGGATGTCTCTATACCCTTCTGCGTTCAGGGTTCCACGCACTAACACCAAGGGTCCAAGGCCAAACCATGAGAAACAGGACCACACCATAATTCCTCCACCGCCGAACTTCACAGTGGGGACAATGCACTCCGGTAGGTACCGTTCTCCGGGCATTCGCCAGGTCCACACCCGTCCATCAGAGTGCCACAACATGTAGCGTGACTCATCACTCCACATAACGCTTTTCCATTGCTCTACTGTCCACTGGCGACGTGCTCTGCACCACTGAAATCGGTGGCGGGCGTTTGATGGAGAGATGTTTGGCTTATGTGCTGCTGCTCGTCCATGGAATCCTTGTGCAATCAGCTCCCGACGAATGGTACGTGCACTGGCAACACTGCCAGATGCAGCCCGGAAGTTGGTAGCGACAGTGTCCAACGACATTTGTCGGTTTGCCTTCACTACACGTCGAAGAGATCGTCGATCCCTGTCGGACATTATTTTGGGCTTGCCGGGTCGGGACTGCGGTTTTATCACTCCCTCTCGTTCCCATTTCAACACGACGTCACCAACTGTTGACCGATGTATCTGAAACTTGTCGGAGATGGCACGTATGGAATGACCAAATCGGTGGGAGCCTATGATCATGTCCTTTTCCGCCTCATTCAGCTCTCGCCGTCCACTCATTTTCACTGTTAACACTCGTATGGCCGTCGCCTGCTTGCGAATGGTCTTTCCCCCACCACAGGTTGCGTATTTATTCCGCCAGGACGAGTCCACCTGCCTTTCAAGGGGTGTCCGGTCATTAATGGCTAGATAGTGTAGTATCCGTTGGTATCATGGGAATGCGTGGTAGTACTTCATGTTCTCCTTGGTGTTTTCCATTTAAAATGGTTGCCTCAATTATGTTATTCATTATTTTTTTTTTACTGATAGCCTAGTCCCATTGCATAGTCGCGGTGGATTTATATTTCGTAGAAGGATGATTGGGGAACCAATTTTCAAAGATAAAATATGCGGTGGTATTCCTGGTAGATCCAATGAATTTAAAAATTCTATTGGATAATTAACTGATTCATCTTGATTGACAACAGTATCTATGGATTTATATGTTGTTTCTTCATCAGGTATTTCATTTTGAATTTTGCAGTTTATTAAATTCACATCAATGTTTTTGGCTGCCAATATAGCACGCTCTCTAACCCATTGATTATTTTTATAATTCTGCAATAAATTTGGAAAAATTTTTGCAATCAATTCATCAGTGGATTTTACAATGTGACAAAAATTTTCTGGTAATGTAATACAGTGTGTGGATTGGTCCATTTCTATTTTACCATTCCCAATATCTAACAATTGTTTTGTAAATCGTTCAGAAGATTGATCTTATTGTAATTGAATACGCATATTGGTCTTTAAAGATATTTTCTCCACATACCGCCATAACACTGATGATTTGAGACATGCATTCAATTCATCTGTTGGTTTTGAACGGGGTATGACTGGTAGAGTTTGTATAAAATCACCAGCTAGCAAATTGAGTGCACCACCAAAGAGCTGCTCATATCCTCTCAAATCTTTTAATGTGCGATTGAGTGCTTCGAATGATTTCTTGTGTGCCATGGTGCATTCATCCCATATTATAAGCTGACATGATCTTAGTACTTTTCCCCTCCCAGAATCTTTGCTAATATTACATGTTGGAATTTCAATTACCTGCACATTTAATGGCAATTTCAATGCTGAATGTGCTGTTTGACTACCGTCCAAAAGAGTTGCTGCAATACCAGATGATGCAATAGCAAGTGCAATATTATTTTGCGGTCTTATAGTTGCCAGAATAATTGAAATAAGAAAAGTTTTGCCAGTACCTGCAGGTGCATCTAAGAAATATAAGCCGCAACTCTTGTTAGATATTGCATTTATAATTGTGCCATATGCTGTTCGTTGTTCTAATATCAATTTCAGAAGATTAATTTGAACAAATGTTTGTAATTCATTAACATCGAAGTGCGTTTCTCGTTGTATATCACGATCGAAAATGTCATTACCAGATCCATTTGGGGCAATCATTCCAAATTCTGTCAGTGATTCGTTGGCTATTGTCAAACACACATTCTCAATTAAAATCAATGCTTCATTGTATATATTTGATGTAAACTGAATGTTGGGATCAGCATTTATTCTACGCATGCAATGTAAAATGTCATATAGTCTTTATATTTTTCCCAAAGATCCTCTGAATTAGCCGGAAAACATGTAGTTAGTATGATGGAAAATAGTGTACGTATCTGTGGTGGTTGAGCTGTATTAGAAGCATCAGCGAGTGAAATATTCCAATGAGCATCGTTCTCTAAGAGACTTAATTTCTGGCAAGCCTCGCGAAATGTAGCACACACATGGCCATTGACTGTTTTTAATTCTTGGAAAGATGTTGGTCCCCGAACATTGATTAATAATAATCTCAGGTAAAAGCATTCTGCATTATTTGGATGTACAGTGTACAGACGACCCAATGCATCTGTGGAATATAAATTTAGATGACCTTGTACTGCTCTACCTTGTTTACGACGCTGAAATTTTCTTGATGATGTATTCCAAGTAAAATAAGTTGGTACTTCAGAGTACAGTAGCGTCCTTGCAAAGGTATCATTTCTACATAATGCGAAAAATTCAGTTAATGTTGTTGGCGGTGGTGACATTGCTCTTGCATTTCACGTACATTTTCTGATGTAAAATACACTCGCTGTCCATTTTCAAGATGTACTGCCAAAGGAACATCGGTTGGATATCGCTCATGAATGGAAAATCATAAAATACGCCATACAGACTCATTGCTACTTATGTAGCGTCCCAGTTGATATTGGGTGACTTCATCGTTAGAAGCAGTTGTATTTTCCACTGCATACACTGCCATATCGCTTCCTTTGTTCACTTATTTGCAAATATATTTTATAGCTTTCACTGAATTGCAGTACTCAACATTTATGTGCGCGTTATACGTTTTTAGTAGTAATGGAGAATATGGTACTACCCAACGATTATCGACATCAATAGTATTGTTGAGTAGTTTTAGTTTAATGGATTTTCCACCATCTTCGGTAGATCGTCGTAGATAGAGTGGATATCCATCATTGCCTGAAATAGTTTCAGCAAGTAAGTCTCTAGGATACCGCTTTGTGCACTTTCCATCTGACATGCAAGGTGAATTATTATTTTGGGAGCCACATGGACCGTGAATCATATTTTTCGAGACAATATCGTGCAAGTCTTTATCAATTTCAATGTCTGGTATTTCTGCAGAGATGATTTCATCAATTCTGTTAGGTGTTATCTTTTCCATCATCCATATTAAAATATGCGCATGTGGTAAACCTCTTTTTTGCCATTCAATGGAATACATCCAACAGCGCGTCTCTCCAAATACATGGTGTTTGACAATAAAATCCATTAAGGATTTTAACTTTTGTTTAAATACACGTGCAGAAATATCATGACGATCTGATGGCGATTGTCCAGTTAATAAAAGCTCCTTTATTTCATCCCATGCTGGGTTGCATGTAAATGTGATGAAAAAATCTGGACGACCATATGCACGAACATACGTCATTGCATCTTGTGCATATTCATGCATGTGTCTTGGGCTGCCTGTATATGTGGATGGTAAAATGACTATTTTTCCAATTTCACTGAGATTGCCATCATTTACAACTGCATCACGTAAATGGATGTACTCTTCAGAACGCAATTTAACTTGATTTAGTCGTATGTAGAGGAGTCTTTCACTTTCTATTTTTGCATACATGTCAACAATGTATTGATGAAATAATTGTCTGCATTTCAATACATGATTATCAGCATTCTCACGAATCAT